CCCTTATTTTGGCCTGGTGTGTAGTCATTGTTCTATCCAAAAGGTAGACTTAATTAAAACCCAACCCTTTCAGGTGCCAGACATCAAGGGAAACGAAGGAATTAAAACCAACACTATCTTGGCATGTGCATGCTTGCACTGAAAGCTATGTCATAGGATATATATAAAACCAGATTCTGTAGATAAATTCCACCAAGAAATCTATCAAAATAGCGGATATCCAGTGACAACTATCTGCAGGAAGATCAAGGAAGATCATAGGTTTTTAATCCCTTCAAAGATCTAGCCTAGACTCAAAATAAAAACGAGTAGAATTTGAAACTAAAAATGAGGGTAGTAAGACAAATACTGAACATGCATTTTAATGGAGCAATAATAAAATTAAAGAGTTGAACCCCTAAGAAGTTGCTTGACTATATGAGTGAAAACAAATTTCCCGAATATGAAAGTAGACTGAGTATTGGTTACTATTTTCCAGCAACTCTTTGGTTGAAACATCTGAAGAACTATATGTGTGTGTTCTTTAAGAAAACCTCTGACTTTGTGTGTATTTATAGAATGGTTGCTGTACAGTTGAATAGGCATCTGGGCCTCACAACAGTAGATAAATAAAGTAAAACAAAGGCTGTGAAACAACACGCTGAGCTCTGAGTTATTTCACTGCTTCATGCCCTATGCTCCTCTCAGCATGTCCCAAAGTCAGCTAAAAAAATCGTGCTTGTTGTCAGCAGTAAGAATGGATGGATTGCATTTGCATGTGCCATGTGAATTCTTTCTGGTTGCATGCATCTAGCTCAAACTCTGTCCCCTTGCTTCATTGTATTAGGATCCATTCCCTGAGAAGCCTGGTAATTACAGAACATGAGCTGTTCTGGCAGAAATTGGAGATAATTGTTTTGCACGTTGCAGTGAGACTCCAAGTGTCACTCAAGCATCTTTATGTTTGCCTGAAACATCTATAGGTATGTTGTACTAAGACACCAGTTGTTGCAGAAAATTACTTGTATCTCAGATTTTCCTGGACAGTTCTTGATTTGTCCTTGCAATGTAGAGCATGTTCCCATTATTCATGCATCACGCATGGCAGGATGTATACTTTTTCCTATAATGTAGGCGTCCATAAAGAAACTGGCACAAACAGAAATTTCTGATCTATGATATCTCGAACCTTTTATTTATATATTTCTGTGCTTTCGGCTTCCTGTGTCTAAAACCACCTTTGTGATTCTATAATCCTTCCTCCACACCAGTGACTTAGCCTGGCGTAAGAGCTCAAAATAAGGCAATGCACCATTCCTCCCTCCTCTCTCTTAGCCCATTTTTCTCTGTCCTTTCATTCTCCCTTTCTGATCTGCTGTGTTTGAGTACCAGAGGTCATAAAGCTTTGGACAAGGCAAAGGCCCCAGCTAGGCTGATGTGCTGACTGGGGGGCTATGAGGCTTGACTTTGGGGCAGTGTGAAAGATCCAGGCCTGTCTTGTTTGTCTGTCTGTCCGTCTCGCTGGCTACACTATAATGAGATTGCAGGGTTCTGTAAGGCGGATTTACTGGAGCACAACTCCCCCTAGGGCCTTTTCATAGAAATTGGTTCCTCCATATTTCACCCAGGCTTCCCACTCTCTCTCTCGCTTTGTCAAATGTGTCTATCTTTCTCCTTCACACCCTCTCTCTTTCTAAAACCTCTGATGTTCGCTCCAACTTTTGTTAATTATGATACGCTGCTTTCCTTTCTTTCTGAGAAGAAAGATTGAAACTTTCCATAAAGCACAAAGCTTATCCAAAAGTGGGGAGAAAGAAAGACACAATGAGAGAGAAAGTGGGATGTAGGATTTGGTCTGGGATGTGGCACCAATACCCTATCGCAAGGCCTCTCCTCATTATCTCCCCTTCAACATGGCCACATTCATTTTGATGGTCTCTCTCAACTCCATGTGGAATTGAATAAAAATGCATGAATGCATACATGCAACTGTGACAAGGATATTTTCCTAGCGCATGTTAAAATAGTTCCAGTTACTTTGCTGCAAATTGAAAGCCAAGGTCATAAAGCCATGCACATTTTTTACAGCATGTATGCAAAGCATTTCACAGAAATGTTTTCTGTTAGTTTACACTACTGATGTTTACACACATGGTGGGGTCTCGCAGCCCAGCCAGCCCAGCTGTGCACATTGAGAATGGGGCCAATTCAAATACACTCTCAAACTTACATCAAGCCAGTCTTTTTTTGAGAGGTGCCAAAAAAAGACCTCTCATCACACCAAAGCACCTCCACCTAAAAACATATAGTTTTACATATTATCCCCAATATCAGCACAATACCATTCATTTTACACTACCCAAGGATGTGGAGTCATTCACCTGTAAGGCTCCTGATCAGATTGTGAAGGAACACTGGATAAATATTTTCAACTTTCCTGGGTCATGTAAACACTTGAGTGTACATCATCAAAAGCGTAGGCAGCAAAACATGAGAAATAAGGTAAGATGAGCCCACCTACTCAGCAGTGAGCTAAACCCCAGGCTGCTAACTGATTACAGAGGCTTGCATAAAGCACTGCAGGGAGATTGTGGGTAAAGGTTTCCCAGCAGACCCCTGTGCCACCACCAAACATTAACTTGCACCATTAGGTTCAACCAGCTGCGCTTACACACATGGTGTGGATATTCTCACTCCCCAGAGTTCTTATCACTGAAAAGCTTTCTCTCCCTTTTTCTGACATCCAAACCAATATCGGCGGGGAGTCCACAAGATGAATGACCCTGCAAATGTGCCATTAAAAAGCCATAAACGGGAATACCTTTAGGCTCAGGAGTTCCTCAGTGAGGGGGTGGCCCATATTTTTTTGCTTACTAACTGCTAAGAACAGGTGGATCAAGGCAAAAGAAGTACCACAGTAATTTATTATGTCACTCCTGTGTTACAAAAAAGACTGAGAAGCATTTTCAACATGTTTTATTGCGCCAATTAGAAATTTTTTAGCCATTTTTCAACTTATAAAAGTATGTAAGCCAATTGGCATTACCAACTGTACAGCTCAATCTTTGTGTGTATTTCAAAGAGGTCCTAGATCTTTCACCTGGATATTCATAGGTTCCCAACATTTCTAAATCTAGCATGTGCTCCAACACACATGCTAGATTTATGCTGTGAAGAATAAAACCAATGAAACAAATCAGGTTTTTTGTACATTTTGTACATTGACTAAAGTTCTCTTACAGTCAATTCCCTTCTTTACTAATTCAATGACATGTCCCAGTGTCATGTTCTAATTGAAGTTTTGTGACAGTGGTCTATCCATGATAACAGCCTTAATGAACAACATACATACCTCATCAGAAAATACTGTTTCATTTTCATGGAGTTCTTACAGGTTTTGCATTTATAACTGAAAATAGTTATTATTCTTACCCCCATCGCAACAACACTGAGAAAAGAGTTGTCACCAGTGTGACCTTATGTAGTTTAGGTACTGGAATCTAAAAAATACTTTTTTTTTTTTAGTTTATGACTCATCAGCCATTGGTCAGGACAAGTCAAGCTGAAAATAGGCCAGATCAGATCACCAGTCAGAGTTGATCTGAAATGAAACATTTTTGTTTCATGCAAAGCAAAGAAATCATTTATCATTTTGATTAAAGTTGTTAACTATTAACTTACAAAGTTATGACAGAATTTGAACAAAACTTTAGAAACTGTTGACAACTGTGCAGACAAAATAAGATGGTCTCTTTTAGGCTCTTCTTTTCCACTGTGTCCTTCATCAGCACTGACTCATTGGTTTCAAAGTGCAGTGTTGACATTTTCATTGGCCCAGAGATCACTTGTGGGGCAGGGTGTTGGCTCCTGTGAGGTTGGACCAGTAAACAAGTGGACAGGGGCCCAGTGAGGTCTGGCCTTCTGAGGAACATTTGACAGCCCATAATTATGTCTATTGCATACAAAGGCATTTTCACTGTCAGAATGTCCGGACTGAGTCACACAATAGATGCAGACATCTCAAAAAACATCTTATGAATCCCATGTATGCTGTTCACCTATTATCTGGTTCACATTGTAATCCCAGAGAAGATGATGATGGGAAATTTTGATATATTTGATTTTCAGAATTACCTAAGTTGATGGGTCATTTGGTATTTAACTAAATGATAGGCTGCGAAGTTTAATGTCATGTATCCAAAAATAGACATCACAATTGTGAGTTTAAGAGTAGCTGGGCTCTGCAGTATTATGTGCTCTATTGTAGACGTTGAAGGGAGGCAAATACCACACAAATGCATTACCCCTGTGCAATACTTTGAGTATAGCACAGTAACACACACACACACAATCCATAATTTCAGGTTCCAGCTAACCCCAGTGACGCGTTTGGTTAATTCTACTGAAGCCCACGAGGCTGTCCAGTATTCGCCAGTAAATTAGCTTTGGATATCTTCCATAAGTCCTCTCTATCTGGTCAGTGCCTGAAGTCACCATCATGTGCACACAATCTTCAAATCAATGAACATTTTTTTCACTGTTATATAAACTTTAACTTTGAATAATGTGGAGGGTTTGTGCATATGTGTGAGGTGTTGTGTGTTCTGTGTAAATGCTTACTAAAATCATGGCCAGATCTGGTTGAATCTCCCAACTGGCTCCACCTTGATAAAAGTTCTTTGTAGGAATATGTGTATGAAATGGCAGAATGCCAGACCACAGCTACTCAAAACTTCAGCTAATGATGAAATGTTTCTATTTCATTTGTTGAACCACTTCTGCTGATACTAATCTCCTGTAAATATTTTTTTTGGCCTTTTATTGTCTTCTATAAAAACATGGATAGCATATTGCTTCTCATCATGTTTAGGTCCTCTAACAAATCTGTTTGCATCTTTGCATTTTTCTATTACTGTGGTTTCTATGCTACCTGAACAACCTGCCTCTCTAGGACTAGGTCACTGTTCTGATCTGACATTGCTTGTTTTTTTTCATCTCTTCATTTCTTCTCTCTTCCTCAGTTCTGTTCGGTCTGCTGTCAGTGGGTGCCCAGACAGAGATGAAGAAAGTTGTTGGGGACAATGCCACTTTACCGTGCCATCACCAGTTTCCAGCTTCCAGCCCTCTTGACATTGAGTGGTTGCTGCAGAAACCTAACTCAAAGCAGAAAGTGGTAAGATTTCTTAGGATGCATTCTGTATGACTTTCTCTTGCTACTGCATCTTATTGGTTAAAAATATGGCAACACCTCATTTGAAGGTGCATGAGGCTGCCATGACACTGTCATAAACATGGCATAACAGCTGTGATGTAAATGAAAGGGTCTTTGTAAATGTTGTCATGAATTGTCATTTGGCAAACAATTTGATAAACAATGTTAAGAAACACTGTTAAACAATTGTCAACATTGTCAACAAAGTCTAATTAGCTACACTGAGACCTACAGTGTGAAAGACAAGGACATGGTGTCCTGTCTTTGGATTGACCTAACCTCAGAAATGTGTATGTTTTTTTATTGTTCTATAACTTCATTATCAATGTCAACAGCAAGGTGCTACTCTGCCAGAGTGACCCCTGGCGTGACTTATTCATCTTCTTTTTTTTTTTTTAGTTACTGTATATTTGAACTTACGTTCTTTCACATGAAATCCTGCTGAAGGTTGTGTGGTGTGCCCTTGGGACTCAAGTTTCTCTGTCCATGGCTGGATCTGTCAGTGATATCAAAATGAAAAGTCCTGACACCATGTTTATGAACAGGACAGTCAAATTGCTTTCCCATGTTTTCATTTTAACAGTTCAGTCTGGGAGGATTTTCCAATACAAAAAATATATATATTAGTAATACTACCTGAAAAATGTACTTGAAAGCACTATAGGCTACATGCGCAGCCATTTGAAACTGTACTACTTACTGAATTGAACAAATACAGTTACACTGAATACATGTGCTTTAAATTTTGCTGTGCACAACTGTTCAAAATATCACGTGGAAGTGGAGGTTCACATGAGTGAAACAGTTTAATTTGGGAAACATTTTGACAATAGACTGATAAAGAATTTCTTTAAAATGACAGCTGTGGATAACTAGCTATGATAGTAATGACTCAAGCAATGAAATAAGGACCGTTGGTTTTAGTTAAAGTTTTGCTGAGTTTAATAGACACACTGATTAGCTTTTAGCAACTCCACAGTAAATGGAAAAATATTTCCATTTACTGTGGAAATGGAAATAACATATCTTTCCTATAGAGAAGTCTTTAATTGTCCTTAAATGAGAACAAGTAAATATTTTTTTGATGTTTAATGTTGGCACAAAGATTATTTCATTCTAAAATTATAAACAAATTGTGATGGTAGAAAGCAAAGTAATCCAGAAACAACTTTTTGCCATTTAGAATGTAACACATGAAATATAATTGTCATACAACGAGGTGTTTCATGTTATCAAATTAAATTAAACTGATTAGGTCCTGAAATTGTTTATTTTGGCATTGTAGTTTTCTTCCTGAACTGTAGGAGTCAGCACTGAGAAATTTGTACAACTCCAACTGAGGAAAGAAAAGAAAAAGTAGAGCTCTGCAAAGGCCAGGGCTGCAAAGTGGCAGGGAGATTTTTCTAAATTTATTCATAGCCTTTAACATTAACGTTAATGTTAAGCTGCAAACTTTTAATAATTTTTCACGTTGGAAAAAGTCCATGGGAATTGTGGGAAACAGAAAAAATTAATGGGAAACTATAGATTATTTCACCAACATTATCATGTTGGTGAATAGAATTGTTTCTGGATTACTTTCCTTTGTACCGTCACAAAATAAGATATATTTATTCCATTTTACTTCTAAAATAAGACTCAGGTTGAGCTAAGTTCCTCGTGATCAGTTTCTTTCAACTGTATTTGGGAAATTATTGGCTTATTAAATGGTAAATCAAAGAAAAGTTTCTGCTTGTTGTGTTTATTCTTTGGCTTTCCTTAGCTGTATGGTTTTCAGTTTGAAACTTCTTACCTTTTAATTCAAATTAAGTTAATGTAGTGCCTTAACAACTTGCTTTTATTATTTTTTATAACATTTTAACATTTTTCATAACTTTTGTGGTATTTGTTTAACTACAGTGAAAAGGGGACAATACAACAACAACAACAAAAAACTTCAAAACTGCAGAATGGAATAACTGGAGCAGAAAAAAAAGCATGTGTTAAAAAAAGAAAAACATCAAAAGTTACATTTTAATGATCTCAGAAAAAGGCTGCCATATTGCAATGAATATTTAAAAGGATGAAAACAATGAAGGCACCATTAATTAAAATCAAACATCCAAAGATGTGATTATGACACCACATGTGCAGCTGAATGAATGAATCATTCTTTTTTTCTGCTCCATGGCAGTATTTGGAAGGAAGGACTCTTCATTTGTCAACATTTAGCCACTATTTAGCAAGAGAAGACATACACATATTAATGACTTCGAACACTGTAGTCATACCTCTGGAAGATTTGCATTAATTGTCATTCAAGTTTGTTTCTGATGGGAAAAGAGACAAACTGTAAAAAGCTGAAAATGTTTCATCTGATTTTATTAAAATATGGCGTGTTGAAAATTGTTTATACTTTTGTCAATAATAGTAAAATACTTATTGCCATTATAACAATCATGAACTTCTTGTAATTTCAAGTAAACAAAATCATAAGTAGATTTATCAACCTCCACTGAAAGAAGGACTCTGAAAACAATTGTGAATCTTAGCAAGATTCAAAATAAACTAAACTAGAACTAAAATTCCAGTTTAGTTCTCAGTGGAAATCTGGAAATTCCCCAGCTGTGACTCATGTTGAATAAGCTTGTTTTAGATCTGAGTTATGTAATCTCATCCACACCCACTGACACGTGGAATAAAATATTTAACAAATGAAATACAAAAGTGAAAAAAGGAGAAAAATGATTGTCATAGAGTCTTATTATTGTTCTTTTGGAGGTATAATTGGCAATGCAAGATTAATATATGACATTTGTTCATGTCACATTTATTTTAATTAACCCTGAAGATTACATTAAGAGGAAATTAGGGATAACTCATCATGTATTTCAGTTCGTGTTGAATAAACAAACCACCTCATTTTAATTGGAAACTTTACTCACAGCCTGTGGTCATTTTGTTCAATTTTCCCACAATACCACACACTCATGAGTACTTTCCGGGTTTCTGTCCCATAAGAGAGTTTGCAGTATACACCCAGACATGACCAGAGGCATAAATACACATAGTCATATGCTGCAGCCTGCATTCACATATGTATGAGTAATAAATACCCACAGTTCATAAAAAAAAGCAAAAAGAAAGTGCCCATAGGCAAATATCTGTAAAATATCCTTTTTATGGTACCAAGGCTGTTCATATTTGCACCATAATGTCTTTTTGCATTTATTGAAGGTGTCCTTAAAATGTGCTGCGTGTGAAGTCGAGGTATATACATGTGTAAGTGGCCAGTGGTCACCTGTGGTCCCAGCAGGTGCCCCCATTTCTATCGGCACTGATGTGCTGTGGCACCAGCATTTAGCAGGCCCCCATCTGCAGGCTCTCCCTTGCCCTGAGTAATAGGCCACTGTGACAGCTGCGTTTGTTTGTGCTTGTGCGTGTGGATGGAGCGTAAGAGAAAAAGAAGAGGAACACATGCATTGTAAACTGAGAGAAAAAACTTTGAAAACGTTGTAAATGACCATGCTTATAGTGAACTTATCCATCATATTTATTTATTTATTTGTAACCATTTTTGACTGTGTAATAAAATAAACTAAGACTTTAATATTCTTGCAAGTCAAATGCAATGTTTTGACATCTGAAAATACAGTGTTGCATTATGCAGTGCACTGTGCTTCTGTGTGGCTTTTAATTCTGTGCCAACACCTAATCTGTGCCACAGTGGGTACTTTAATCTTTTATCAGCAACCAAATAGATTTTTCTGTCTTTTTGTACGGTTTTGCTTGTAGAAAGCTTTGCTTGTAGAAAGCTTTGCTTGTACAAAGACCATAAGGAGATAGTAGTCCTCATAATCAGCGGAATGTGCTGTAGCATCATCACAAATGCATTCATCTGTGAAATATTCTATGCCAGCGGTTAATTATAAAATAATTGTTACCATTGCTACTCATACTGTAAGTACTAGAATGGTGAATTTGTCAGCATTGTGAGTAGATGGTGAGGCAACACTTTGCTTATGTACCAGTCGTTCACGTATGATCTTTGCAGTTGTGAAAGTTTTGATGTCCCTGATTGCCTACCAGTTAAATAGATTGAGGATGTTCCTTGTGAGACATGAAGATCTACTTAGGCAAATGTACTTCTATGTAGCATGAATTGGAGTAATGTTTGGAATGATAAAATAACAGGTATTTCAAATGTAAATGCAAGTTTCAAGATGAAACTTAGGCTGTTTTTTCATACATATATATTAGGAAAATTACTTTTTAGAAAGGAGCAGGGTAGATCTGATTTTAGTCTTTGCATAAAACATTTGAAGCTTGTTTCAGACAAATCAGAAATAAATATTTCACAGACAAATTTAATTGAATTTCAAATAAATTCCTGTTACTTATATGGTCAATCTACAACACCATCAACATTCAATTTACATAAAAAAAGTTAATTCAATTCATTTACACTTACATTTCAGTTGATGCTAGCTATGAAACGATTCAGTTTATTATTTGACTAGTTTGAAAAGGTTTCCTGAGGAAACTCAGCAGATTGGATTGAGTCATCGATTTGCAGCACTCTCAACTCCTGGTTAAGCATTTCATGAAAGTAGACAAAGTCTTCCATTGTATCATTGAACTTTACTGCAGTCCCTCATCTTGAGCATCCATATGGCAACAGTGGAGAGAAAAAATTGGCCCCATACAAGCGGCCATCTGCCCTGACTAACACTGGGCTTGAGGAGACAGAGCAGACACACAAAAAGAAACAGAAGAGCTGATGTAGGAATACATTTAAAATGTTAATAACTGGAGAGGAAGAATGTTCAGTTGTTGGCAGCGTTATCTCAGTCTATTGCCACCTAGAGGAAGGTAACACAGCTGCATGGAATCCCAGACCAGAATCCGCTTCTATGGAAAGAAAGAAAAAATTGAGAGAAAACATAAAGTTAAAATACAGAAAAGTAAATTACATTTTTTTTTCCCACATCCAGATCATTACTTTCTTCGGAGGACAGGTCTACACTAACGAGGCCGTTGGCAGTGACACCAGCCGCTTGTCCTTCGCTGGGGAGTACCTGGGCGGTGACGCCTCCCTGCTGATCAGTGACCTGCTGCTGACCGACTCTGGGGAGTACTACTGTAAAGTCAAGACTGGGGGAAAGTACCACTGGAGCCAGGTCAACCTCATTGTTCTGGGTAAGGGTTTTCAGAGCTATTCTCATAGTGAGCATACAAACAAATAAATGCAGATAACAAATTCACTCAGAAGAGTTTGCACTCATCCTCAGACATGCCATCAGGTTATGACGGGACTCATTTGGACTGAAAACACACAAATAATATCAAACACATACACATGTAGGCCTAATCAGATGATTATTAGTCTGGCACATTTCCTCCATCATGCTGACTGATCTAATGATTCAATTTAATGCAGACGGTGTGATTTGATTTTCCTTATGCTGTTTGGGTTCGTTCGGAATGGTTTCTTGATGAGGTGAGACGGAAAACCATTGCTCGGGAAGATGAATTCAGGGACTGAGTAACACAGACAGATATGCCAGTGAATTCAAAAATACTTAACATCCCCTGTTAGACAAATGAAACTGCAATCTGAAAAGGCTTTTGCTCCCAAAATGTTTCTCTATGTTTTCACTATATTCTTTGTTCCAAAGATGCCAAAACATAGAAAATGCCATTTTCAAATACTGATTGCATTCACAAGAAAATAGTTGTGGAAACCGACCTGTGTAAAATAGTGACTGTCCCATAAATCTTGAAGCTGATTTTGACATTCTTTGGCAGCAACTATAATAATTGCAATTATTTCTTATGGAGGTATTTTCCCCCACTATTTTTGCAGAAGTCATTCTTATTGGAGAGTTTTTGGTTTAAAATCTGAAATTTAACTGAATTGTTTCAAGATATTGTTTTGTTGTTATTTAGCCATTCAGAGATGGATTTGCTAATGTACTTTAACCAGTCATATCACCAAAGTGTGCAAGAGGGTAAGGTCACAAACTGCTGCACATTCTCCCTCCTTCAAGATTTTCTGGTAGTAAAAATGTTTTTTGGCCTTGGAACCCTTCTATGGATGCCATATTCGTTCAGTCTCTTTCTTTTGAAACATGGACATCGACCCTAACTGAAGCAGGTGAGATATGCAATGTCTATATGCTCCTCTGGGTTATTTTGTGACCTGCTGGATGAGTTGTTGACATGCTCTTGGTGTAATTTTGGGTGGGTAGCGAGTGGTTGGCAACTGTTCCCTGTTTTCTCTGTGGATAATTTCTACCATTGTGTTTCACTCATGCTGGAAAGCCTCAGAAATAGGTTTTGCAACTCTTTGAAGACCTAAAAAGGTCAATGTCTTTGTTTCTTATCCTTTAATTTTGTTCAATTAGGTGTTGATGTGTTTTGATCTGAGCTCTTTTAACCTACTTCAGATCACACTGGTTGGTAAGTGATATTCTAATTTTACAGAGATATATCAGCTTTCAGACCTTGCTGTTGTTAGTAATACTGAGCTTAACGTTCCAAAACATAGTAGTTACAATATTCAAAGGTAGTTAATAATTCAATAACTGGAGGATAACAAAAGGAAAGTACTTTATTCATATAAAATAGGTCTCTCAGGATATATATTTGTTCTTCAAAAAAATGCATTACCTTTTGAAAGCTGCATTTTTTTCTGTCCATCTTTGTCCAATATTAAAAATTGGTAATCGTATGGATTTAATTATGACAAAATGCAAAAAGAGCTGAAGAAAGAGGTCAAATGCATTTTCAAAGAACTATAATAATTTGCGATACTTTGTGTAATTAAATTTACTCAGCATAGATGTATATTTTTTTTTTTAAAAAGCGTAACTTATTATTCTTGTTAATACCATACATGTTTTACGTCTGGACAACAGCGATAGCTCACAGAGTTCAAGGACATCAAAAGAGGAGGAGCTCTGCCACATGAGCCTGACACAAAGTCTGGTGGGAGGAACAAGTTTATTCTGTGTCAGAAAAGTATCAGAAAAGCAGGCGAATTAATAAAACATCTCGGGAGATTAGTTCAACCAGACGTTATTGGTTTTCTAATGGAGCAATCTGTTAATCCTCTCACTCTCAGTTTTATAAAGATATTGTGGTGACTAGAGTCTCAATTTTCACAAATTGCCTTCAGCTCTGCGTCGACACTTTTGCTTCCAAAAGGGACAAATGTCTGAGATTCTGCTCCTGCTCCCCCGCGTCCGGATGATAACTTGTAGCTGGCTTGGCATAAAACAGTAAATGTCAGTGGTTGCATTTGTTTGCTTGCCAGTGCATATAGCATTATATGCAAACTTGGTCACTCATGCCAGGAAGTTTACTGTTTGCTTGACTGAATATTGGAATTTTCATGTGCAGATTTCAGGCTTTAGAAGCGAAATGGATTGATGGTGCAAGTTTGGTAAACCTTTTTGGGGGACTTCTGCTGCAGTTCAGTCTTATTCACCATGACAGAGCTGACAGATGCTCAGTGCTCCGCAATCAGCCGTTCTCGTTATATTGCTCACCGAGCGTGTGAGCCAATGCCATTCTGCTTCTGACATACTCCCGAATTATGTTACCATGTCAGAGTTACTTATTCTCCAACTTTGCTCACAAGCAAGCACATGCAACTTTACATGACTAATTTGACAGTTGCACAAAACACAAAACAGATATATAAATTTAGTCGACCAATCATCTAAAATTATGTCACTAGAGAGGGAGACAACTGTGTTCCATTTTCTTTTTATAGTGAAGCAGTGCCTCTGAGCAAGAATCTAAGCAGAGCAGCTGTACAGATCTCAGCAGGCTACAGCTATACTGCTCTGTGCCTCCAGCTGTGGCAGACTATGACCAAAACTATTAACCTGTGGAAAAAATGGTACTACACACATTCATGGCCTGGTCTGTGGCTCTGTTGTCCATTCCCTGCAGAAAGCCATTCCCAGTTTGCAGAAAACAAACAGAAAATGGCCAACTAACTTTAAAAAGATGACATCTCAGGTTTTAAAAGACCTACCATAAGTCTAGATAGTACTCATCATAGTGACTGGCTTTGCCTTATTATAGTGTAAAAATTTTTTTAAAAGTGACGATGAACCTTAGATGTCACGATTGACCTCTTTTATTATCTTGGTCACTATGCATGAGGGTATAGTGACCAAAGTCCTTATCCACCTACATGTATTAAATATTGCTCTGACTGTTGTTATGGAGACATTTAAGCAATTTGTTTTTGATTATCTGACTAATGAAGATAAAGACACTATGTGCATCACTTAAGAATTGTTCTTTTCTCTTTTTTACCATTTTGAATAACTGTGAACTCTTTTCTGTTTATACAGCAACAACTTACTGGACAGTTATAAAGCTGCCAAATGTTGAGCTGTATCAATATCATATCTATATCATATCTATATGATGTTGCCATCATATAGATATCTGCAAAACCTAATAAGAGGCAGCAGACTGTAAAGTCTGTAATTACGTTTCCATTTAACTAGATCAAACGACCACCACGACTTTGTTGTGGAGAATTAGCTTTCTCTACTACACATTTTTATGATTTCTTATTTACAATCACAAAAAATCAGTGTAGGGATGTGCGTGCATGGGCAAGTGTGTGTGAGAAGAATTTATAATTTTGTTCTTTTTTAATAAAGGTCCAGCCAAGGACTGGGTTTACAAATTAACCTGTGGCTAGAAAACATTTCCACAAAACAACGGTTGCTTTGTTTCTCACATGTAACATTGTTTAATGAGTTGTCCTTGATTAACAAAATTTGAATTAAATTCAGTTGAAATGCTACGTCTTAAGCAGATGGAGAAAACTGTGGGTTTCAGCACTTCCTCCACTGCTCCTGGAGCTGTCTACCTGCCCTTTGCTGCTGTAGGGTGCTGAGGGTTGCAAGTTTTCCACCATTCTCAACATTCTAACAATTTTGCACTTTCAGGTAACAAATTGTTGAAGGTCATAAAAACACAGGGGCCTGTTTCAGCAATGTGCCCTGTCCGCTTTAATGTTACATGATGTCTTGGTCAAATAGTCAATAACACAATTGGGATTCCCTCTTGAGATGTCCTCGTTGTGGAGCAAAACTACCCCAGCTCATGTAAGCAGGCAGCTTCTCCATATGGTAATAAATGAAAAAAGATTGCAAATTTGTTATTTTCAACAAAAACCTTTGTATTCTAAGAAGTCTGCAATCTTTTGAAAACTGTATCTGCTATTTTTAACATTAAAAGAGAAATAATTTTGTTATCCTTGTGACACTTTTTGTTTTGTTTTCTCACAGAAAAGCCCTCCAAGCCAAGGTGCCGGATGGATGGAAAACTCTTGGAGGGCAAGGATGTCAAGCTGAGCTGTAAATCCAGCGATGGTTCAGACCCCATTAGCTACAAGTGGGAGCGAGTGCTTGACAAAGGGAAGAGTTTGGGCAAACTTCCAAACTTGGCACTGATAGGTAAGAAAAGTAATGCTTTAGAAAGACTTTGAAAAAAAGAGCGAGACAACACTACACTGAGATGATGTGCTGATTCACAATTCAGTTCCTCTTCATAGAAATGCTATGATAATTCATTTTTATATTAATTACTTTTTTTCTTTGTTATTGCAGCTTTAATCCCAGAGAGATTTCTGCAAAGCACACCACTGTAAACCTGACTCCTCCCATCTACTATTTTAAACATCTATAAACACCGGTACCTAAACCTACTGAGGCAAACTTCCTTCTCCCATTGTAGATCCTGTAGCAGCTCCACAAGATTTATTAAATGTTACAACATTTGGCTCAAGAGAACATGCGTGTATTCATCCACTGATACTTCAATCAGTTAATATGCTTGGATTGTTCTGATTCTCTCCCTAGACACAGGCAATAAGCCTAAAACCATGGAAATGAGTTCTATTTATCCTTTTCCAGAAAATCAAACTACACAACATTGTGATTTGTGGTTTTATTCTGTCAGAATTATGTGCATTATTACAAGAATTTGTGATGAAACCGGGTTTAATGATTTTGAAATGTCAAGTCGCCTCAAGTGAATCATAGTTGCGACCATTAAAGCAGTGTGTGCATTTTCTGGGAGTGAAGCTGAAGTGGAAGAAAAAACTAATCCAATACACTGAAAGGTTTTTCAGCTTTTCTTCTATATTCCAATCGACAAACCAAGCAATGGATAAATAACATACCACTATTACAGTATTTTTTTTTCCTGTAATTGTGGTACATGTCCAGCCAAAATCCTTCCAGTTAGTGGCATCAACCAAACACCACCTGTTCAGTATAATTACTTTTCATGGGACAATAACACACAGCATCAACAGCCATTATTTATGGGTCTAGTGAAAGCTAATACCACATGGTTGTCAGTGGTGCAGATGACTAAATGTCCCATATGGCTCTGGGGCGCCGTCACCCTGTCAGACACACTCCTGCTTCTCTCCTCAGGTCCTCCTGACTATGATGGACCTCCACTGGAAAATATCCCCCCACTATTCCACTCCCATTTGCTCTCTCTTGTTGAATATATTTCAAGCCCCGTTTCATAAATGACATCTTATTTTTTGTGGCAGATCTGAAGAACCCAGAGATTGTCACCCTGAGGAATCTTACCATGGACAGCACAGGCGTCTACAGGTGCACAGCAAGCAATGATGTGGGAGAGGAAAACTGCACCATTGAGGTCACGATGCAGCGTGAGTTGTGGAGAGGAACTTGACCTCACAGTCTTCACCTTACACCAAACTGCCACACTGACTGATGGTTATTGTTTTAAACAACTCCAAATACATTTATTCTTCACCCTGCCTCTCCTCCCCTTTACCTTCCTATCGAATGCAATAAACCCATAGCGATGGCCTCTCCATTTTAAATGCCATGTTTCACTGTCAAAATGATGCATTCTTTGAGAGTCCCCTGGCAGGGTCATGTATGGGGGAATAGAAAAAAAAGGACAGAGCTAGCAGCTCAGCATAAAGGTTTTTTGGTCTTTGGTGTTAAATTAATGTCCTTAAATTAAATATGGATGGAGGGACTCAAAAGAAAGAAGTGAGTCTTTTTCTAGTGAATGTGCATGTAAAATGATTATTAATAAATTGAAGACTAACAGGGAAAATGGAATATTATTTTACCAGAGAGAAAAGCAGAATATATGTCTAATCGCTTTCTTCTTTTTTCATCCACAGATGTGAGGGATGTTGGGACGGTAGCGGGAGTAGTGGTGGGAATCTCCCTCGGTGTCCTCATTGTCATAATAATCATCTGGCTCGTCTTCTGGAAGAAAGAAAAAAAGAAGTACGAAGAGGAGGAGACCCCAAATGAGATCAGGTTCAGTCATATTCTTGTCATCTGTCTCTCTTTTTTTTTTTTAAATCATTCTTACTATTAAAAATATAGCTCACTAAAATTTGGGACACAAAATGTTTTAAAATAAATACTCATACAGTGTGAAACAGCTGTTCATGCTCAGGATATTCATGCCACCGCATTGCCAAGGTTATAGGTCTTATGCTTCTGACAACATCAGCTGATAATTTTATTGTCCTAATGCAGAAATCTTTACACCTATTTATGAAAACATTTAGTAGTCTCAAGCTTGAATTTGCCACTTATTTTCCCTTTAGCTTGGAAAAAACATTTTTTTAGTTTTATGGAACTGTTTACACTATGCACAAGAACCTTGTTCTCTGCGTGGAGATGCATGTATTTGTAATGGCTAAAGCTTCAAACGTTATCCATTAAATTTTTTTGTTAATAATAATAATAATCTTGGTTGTATTAGAAAATATCTCCACCTAAGATATGCATTTCTGACTCTGTTCACAAGCATCATTGGACTTCATGTTTTGACCAAGAACTTTTTCACAAACTACCTGCGTGTTTAACACCCTTTCTTATAATAGTTTGCTTTTGAAATTGAAATAAATAACAAGGATTATTGCTTTCGTTCTTAATAACATTGGGGCACCCAGGTATGATTTTTCTGTGCTTTCTCTGAGACTTGTATTATGTCATATTAAAACTCAAGTACAAGTTGATTTATTTGGGATAGTTTTCATTGTATTTTCTGCGCCTTTTTTTTTCTTCAACAGTTGCATCTGGGGAACCAGTGATTCGAGCAGAATTCATTATTCCATGCAAATTTGCTTCAGAAAACTCTCAGGCTAGGGGGTATCTCATGAATTACATGAAGCTCTGGCAAACTACAAGTCCCCTGTGCTTCAGACCTTGGAATAGTGTAATGCAGGGACACTCTGCTGAGCTGTTATTGTGTTAGGGTTCTCTTCTCTGCTTCAAGAGTTACTTTTTATATCTAATAAATATTGTTGTCCTTATGTGCTGTGTTTCCCAACATACAGGGAAGATGCTGAGGCTCCCAAGGCCAAATTGGTGAAGCCAAACTCCTTATCCTCGTCCCGTTCTGGCAGTTCACGCTCCGGCGCCTCCTCCACCCAATCAATGGTGCACAACAGCACCCAACGTGGCCACCGCCCACGTCCACCTGCAGTGGCAGCTCTCAAGGAAAATGGACAGCCTCCAGGCTTCCCCCAGTCCCCTCCGGCTTACACCACAGTGGTGCCCCCCAAAACCCCTGAGCCCCCTGTCACTCCAAAATTCAACTCCAGGAACATGTCTGGACCCACACCCCCAACTCTCATGGTCCCAGCCCAGACCAAGGCCTTTCAGACTGTGTAGGCCTGAAAGTCACGCCCTTTCCTGCAGCCATGTAAGACTCCGACCCCTCCCTGAAGCCCCATAACCCTCTCTCCCAAAGACTGAGACTCTTCCATAAACAAAGAAATGCAACTAGTTTAAAGGATGTAATTAAAAGAGTCAATACTATAATTCCAAAAGTACTTTTAATGAATGCATAACTTAAAGGGTAAAATATAAGACATGCTTGCCCCTACTGATTTAAAAAAAAAACAAAAACAAACAAAAAAGCTGAAACCTGAGATGCAAAACGATCCCATGGCTGAAGGTAGAACTTTTTTGCTGCATTTCTTCTTTTTGCTTCAGATGGCACAGAGAAGCACCATGTGCATTGAGGTGGAAGGCGCCCCCTTGAAGAGCTTTATTTATTTATCAAATCAAAGGCTTAGGCATGCAGTCAGAGTGAGAAAAGGAAACTAAAAACATACTTACATTCACCATCCGTTAAACAAGATGAATTTAAGTAGGGCGGAAAAGAGGGGAAAAGTGGTAGACTGTCTGGGAAGTTGGGTTTTTGTTGTTGTAAAGTTGGAGACCAGGGAGGAGGGGTGATTCTCTGATTTATATCACTCTTCACCTCTATCTGGCTGCTTCCAACAACTTGCTCTAAAACCACAAACCGCTTTGCCTCCCCCCATGGGCCTGGCCAATTTTGCCCATCCATGTGGACAGACACAGTGCGCAGCGTGTGCATCATTCGCCTCATTGCTTTTGGTCTTTTGTGTTCTCGCAGAGGAACCGGTGAGAAACCACAGACTAACTCAGCTGGCTCGTGAACGCCTCATCTGCTTCACTGTTCAACTGTCTTAGGGCGCGGGAGGGACTTCAGGAACAAGGATGTAGCATTGACAGTCAAATCAATGAACTTGTTATCGTTCCTCCCACATCTACATTGTTAAACTCCTGTACTGCTACCAAATATTCTCCTAAGTACTTAAGTAGCATTTATTAGACCTATAGCGATTCTTTAAAAATAGAGGTAAGCATCTATTAGAACAGCTAGAATCTTTGTTTGGTTTTGTCTCTGTTTCCTTTTGTCTCGTTTTCCTGTGTGGGTTACAAAATGTCAAAGGCAGCCATGTGTCCAGTCCCTCATTTTAAGAAGTGCCACCAATGCCCCAGGATGGGTTGTGATTGGTATTTTTTTCTTATCATTTTCTTTTTGTTTACCAGCTACATTTCTGAACTGAAGCCAAAATTTGTTGAGATGAATGTGTGATTTACAAAGATGGTGGAGTCTATTATTTTCAGCCTCCTTCAGGGTACAATATCAAACTAAGGCACATGACTTTCAAATTTTACTCTAGCTTGTCTTAAGATGGGGAACAAGGAGTGTGGCTCCAGATAAATCTAATACTCTCCTTGGATCCATAACAGCAGTGTGGCACTTGATTGTTGTTTCACCCAATCACTTGCTTGGTTAATGCTTGTTGCCAGCAAGAAACCTAGTTGTTGTATCCTCTAAGACACAAAATGCAGTTTGACTGAAAGTAGCTGAAAACAGGGCAAGTAGCCTATCTAGTGTGCCTTTGAAATCCCTCTCCCTTTAGATGTTTTCTTTTCTCTTTTCTAAACCCCTCACCACCCCTCTCCCTTGGTCCTTATCTTCAGTGTACCAGCGGTTAAGTCTCTGTTCACATGAAACTTTGAGGGTCACCAGCAGGAAGCCCTCCATATCACAAGAACTGCCCCAGAAACGGATGCAGCCGAAGAAGCACCAAGCAGAGTGAGTGGTGAGAAAGCAATCCCATGCCACAAGACTATTTACTGTACATTATGTAATCAGTCTTGTTTTATATTGTACATAAAGATAGCTATACGCACATGATGTCAGTTCAACTTAAAAATAAGGGTATGTCAGGAAAATGCTTCCTCACAAAATAATGCCAAGTGAGAAATCCAAAGTGAAGTCAAACTGTCTTTTTCTGAAGTTACAAATGACAATGATACTAACCCTAATGTGAACAAACATTTTAAATTTGTGGATCTGTACAAGGCAAACTCATATGAACCATTATAACCACTTCCAATTTACTATATATTTTTTGCTTCTGAAAAAAAACAAAAACAACTATTTATCTATAGATTCTTGGACAAGTTTTAAAGGCCACCATTGTGTTCAAACATGACATGAGTTAGTGACAGTTAAACTTTGCTTTGAAAGTAATTATAGAGATAAAATGTCATCTCATTATAAAATAAGAACATAGACCTCGCTTATCATATTAACTTGGTTAAAAGTTGAGGTTAACATATAGAAGGTGTTCACCAGTGAGATTGTTTGCATTGCTGCACAAATCCAAATATAATTTTAATACAATTTATTTTGCTACATTTAAAACTTATTTCCATCCAGACATAATCTAGCGCCTTCAACATACAATTAAAATTGTATTCTGAAAGGTGAACTTTCAATGTTTCTTAAAATGCAAACTTTCACTGATCACACAGATGAATTTGCTATTTGATAGGCTGTAGTTTCTCAGCCTTTGGAAAATTTCTAGTTTTGTCTTGCTCACATCTGTAATCAGAGAAATAATTCAAACATTTCAAACAATCAGAATTATTAGCGGGAAAAACAAAGCTAAAGGAAGAGCTATGTTTATCTTTATCCTGTATTTCTACATTTAATTATTTATTTGTATTTTTTTTTTTTACCAGGGTAGCTATCAGAGCCACTGTGTCCTATTTGCTATTTGATAGCCTAGAACTCCCATCATCCGTGGCTCTGCATCATTAGAGCAAATTTGGTCATGTTTCAGGTCTAAATCTGCAACATCTGCCAGGAAAGGATGTGTTGTTTGATTTCACACATTGGATTTCACACATGACTTAACCACAGAGGTAATTGGGATTTTTTTTATTTATTTATTTATTTTTTTGTATTATTTCACTAAAAGCAGCGCGTCATATTCGACCAGGAAGGTTACTCTATGTCTGTAATAGAGGAGTTTTGAACGTGCGTACTGACATGTCTGCAAATACACTTGTAATTGTGTGTGAACGTGTATGCGTGGGTGTGTGCATTTAAATTCAGTATTTGCCCTTGGGACACACCCACACACTCTGATGTTACCCATTCAATGAGGGCGAAGGATGCAGTCAAGCAAGGGAACTCATTTTTAAATGTACATGACTGAAGACCGGCAGTGTTGATTTTAGCTTTTGCTTAGTTTTATATGCCTTCTGAACTTTGCTTCACAGGCAGCAGTCATGTTTTTGCTTGTGGGGGTGGCGTCGCGAGACAAAGAGCGTTCATAATTCATGACTCTCATCAGCTCTGGAGGGGACTGGTACACTCCTGCTATCTCTGTGCAGAATGCACTTTGCCCAGGTTGTCTTTGTGGCATCTCACCAAACAGACACACATAGTTACAAGTTGTATATACATACACATCAACAGGTGCACGCATCATATGCAAGATGCATATGACAGTGCAGTTGTGTCCACACGCAAGCACACCTCACAGAAACTGACACCCTTTGCACAAACAAAAGCCCAAACAAGCATTCCCTGTTATTTCTGCTCCTTCAGAATCAATTTGATGGATCGAATGTCTGGAGGTATTACCGCTGACTGATGGAGCCCGGATACTAAATGTGGCACAGAATGGGTTGTGGCATCACTCAGAGGACATGTGCACACACTTGCATAAAAAAACGATACAGTAAGAAAACACACACACTTGGAAGCACTCGCTAAAACAGACACTGCTGTGCATCTTAAAGATCTTGACAGCATATGCTGAAAGATTTTTTCCCCAGCTTGGGAATTTACAAGAGTGGTACCGGGAAACAAGAGAGTTATAACAGCATTGGTTCTGAGCCAGGGCTGTGGGCTCGTGTCATTGAAATTCCCTCCTCCACAGATGAAAGTAGCAGTGGTGGTGGAGTGTGGGAATCAAGTCTTCCAGCTTTAAATTCCTCCAAGCTTTTTTTGATTTGCTTTCCAGCGTCGGCAAGTCTCAGGTGGCAGATTCCCCAGTTTATGAGCCCTCACCCTGCATACTTCTTTGTGACCAAACAAACTCGCTCTTTTTCCAACAAATGAATTTTAAGTCGCTTTTGTCATTTCAGTGTGCATAGAAGGAAAAAAGTCTTAATGCCCCACAGCTCGGCGTGTCGGCTCCATATGCAATAATATCAGTCAGCAGCACCGCACATTGTCTTGTTACCAATACTCAAAGGTGCAGTTTAATGGTTAATGGTTATCCTGCGGTATGTGATGGGAGAATGAATCTCATGTAGCTACAGTGTTTTATGTTCTGTTAGTCGCATTTTAGTTCTAATTAAAGCTATTGAGCAGGGCAATCTGTGGTTTGGCCTTGTCTGTCAGTATAAGAGAATGTGATGTATTATTGCTTCTTAAAAGTGGAGATGAACGAGGCTTGGTTCAGCCTCAAGGAAGTTAAAGAGAGATTGTAAGAGGTACCTGCATGTCATAAGATTGAGCAGATGAACGGGAATGCTTTGCTTTGATGTAACATAACTGTAATCAACTAAAAGTAATCAAAAAAATCAAAAATTGTAAATATATCAACTAATTGATTTTTGAAGCTTTACTTTGTCTTTTTTTTGTTTGTTGGTTGTTTTTTTTTTTTTTATGTTTATCCATGTACTTTGCACTTTTCAGTGTGCTATGCTCATCACCGGTGTGTGTTGATTCTGTGTGGTCGGCTGTTTCCTCTTGACTGCGTTGTTTCAGTGTCAGGGGCAGACAGGCTCAGCATGGCTCGACTAAAGGGAAATGTAAAACACTTTTGTTTACTTTACTCTCATCTGTTTTCTGATGTGTATTTTCATTTTAGTTTTCTAAAATAATAAGGGATTTTTTTTTCTTTGTTCATTTGATGAAAACAATCCTTGTAAATATCATGAGTAAAAAATGTATATTTTTACGACTTCTGAGTTATTACTCTTTCATTTGCAAATAAAATATTCAATGACAACCTAACTGGTCTTGTGACATCTTCCTTTTGAATTAGAATGAGGTAGACTCCTAGAGTTATAAAATCGTGAATAATTTATTCGTGCTCCGAAGTGTCTCATCCTTTGCTGGTGTGTGGGAAGTGGTAAGGTCAGAGCTTTTATGCTTAGTAGAAGCTTGCACACTTTACGTATGTGTTTATGAAGGGTCACTCTGATCTGCTTAGCTGACTGTACCAGAATTTGACAGCTGTCAAAAAGAATTACTTTTATTGTCTGCTTATCAGAGGAATCTAACCTGCAAAGCCTAAGAAAGCATGAATATCAGCAGTGCATAATTTCAGTATGACACACATTTAAGCGTTATACAGTTTTGACCCAGACAAATAAGTTCAACAATGTTTTTTTTTAAGCTATTTGAGTGCTGTATAAAATATCGGCATTTGACAGTGAGAATTCAGAACAGTTGTCACCTCTTCTAAAGATATGTGAAACGCCTGAAAATAAATTAATCTTTCATTGCCTTAGCATAATCTGAACCTATTGGCCTTTGTGCAGCCCCCTTTGTTACATTAGATTGGCTTCTTAAGATTTCACAAGGTTGGAGAATACATAGAAGGATCTTTAACTCTTCCTCTGGACAATCTCCTTGGATAGTCCACTGACATGGGTCCTCTATGGCTTTCAGCTTGTCTACAGGTTTCCCATTGAAATAGAATGAAAGAAGGTTAATTTGGTGTCCGTATTGGATTTATTTTTTTGTTTTTTTTCATGATGTTCCTGACAAAGACCCAGAGGTGACTCATTTTCAATATTCTGGTAGAGTCCACTAGGTTTGGATTTTAAATCTCTTGGTATTTGAAATGTTCCCTGGTAATTTGTGAAAAAAAGAACCCGCAGCATCACATGTTTCATACACCTCAGCGGGCAGGACGTGCTTTTTCACATAATTTCTTTCCCTGTCTAAACCATATTGTGATTGATTAGCTATATTCTAGTGTAGCTGGCTTCGGGATAGCTTTTAAGTGTATATGCTAGCTATTTCACATTGGGGTGTGTCAGCTAACTTAGGAAGGATAAGACTAGAAAACTTTTTTTAGACAGATGCTTATTTCTCACACCTATAATATTTTGAAGCCAATTCACATTTTTCGGGTGCTGGGATCCAGTGCTTCTCAAAATGTGAGGATGAAACATAAGGCAGAAAGATTTTTCTTATTCTTGCACCGTCAGCCACATTTTCACTGCCATTCATCTGTTTCCTCTGAAAAATCTTCTTCATATTGGCAAGCTACCAAACTGCCAAGACTCACAATATGTATAAACCCGAGCAAAATGGTGGCTTTGTCTGTTTCAAGGGCGTGCGAAGAAGGTTGCAGGAATTCACAAAAGCATGCATAATGCACTTTGCCAAGTGATCCATCCATGGAGGCTAATACATTTAAGAGCTGGCTACTGGCTGCGTGATGTGTGCGATGTTTTTAAACAAACAAAAAATGCATCCAAAGCAATATCAGATTTTCAAGGCCAGAACACACTTCTCCACCCCCTTTTTCATGCCTCTGTTCTCATTGTTCTACATGATTAGCCATGTGTGATGAGACTGTCATAAACTCTCTGGCATGCCTAGACACTATGCACATTCAAATGCCTGCTCTTCCTTAATGGCATTTTAGTAACAGATTGGGACATTCTGTAACCCCACATCTGTATCCTTCATGTCTCTGTTAGACACTATTCCATGTCTCTGCATTGTCATTTCGGCAAATGCTTTGATCTCATAGCATGAGATCAATGCTATGAGATCAAGTGTGTGCAGTGAGCAAGTTTGTGTTTAAGTTGTATTTTTCAAAAAGCTTTATTACACAAAGATATGTTGATAACAAACAGTTGAGATCAACAGTTGAGAAAAAAATTCAAAGGTTTAGAGTTGCTGTTTCTTAACATGTGTGTCTTTTTCACATATATAATTATGGTGATGATCTAATCAGAACTTTGACTTGTTTTCCAATTTGCAGTCAGTTTTTTTTAAAGTGATGGTTCTGATTTTATCAAATTATCTTTTAAGTCATCAATTAAGAAGTTATATTGACAGCATGTATAGTAAATTTCTTCAGCCCTTCTGTGTTAGAGAATTGTTGCTGTAAAGTCTGTCTGGGTTTTGATTTTCCTCTGTTTTTGAATTTTGATTATTTTCTTGTTCATTTATATCAATTTATCAGTATATTCTGTTCGGTCAATATTTTATATTACTCAAAAAGTTTTTTCACATAAATTCATTTCTTTGCATTTAGTTTTTTGTTTTGTTTTTTTGTTTACTGTTGCACTTTGTAGTTATACGTTTGAATTTTCATCTGCTAGATTTATGTTATTCTTTTACCTCTGATTTGTAGTTTGCTTTATTCTCTGTTCTTCTGCAGTGTTTATTATTCACCTTCCCTCTTGCCAATTTTCTCCCTTGTGCAGCTGTTTTCTGTCCCTTGATTTTCCTCTGCCTGCATTCTGTCTCTGCTTTGTTCTTGCAGTTTACTTTGTCGTTTCTGCTTCTCTTCAGCATTCCAGCTCTTGGATTTTAGTTTGATACTGGATCTTTCTATTACCTTGTTTCATGCTTCAGTGTTCCATGTTCTGCCTTCTGTGGTTCTGTAAGTTCTTTATTTTATTAAATCGCTTGATTTCAGCCTACAATTTCCTCTTCATATGGGTAATGTCCAACTACAAGCCATTCATTCATTGTCTCCCACTTAATCTGTGATCAGGTCCAGGGGGAAGGACTCAGCTTATCCAAAGGAATCCTAAGGCTTTTCCAGCCAGGCCAAGAAGTATAGTCCCTCCAACGTGTCCTGGGTCTGCCTTTGAATCTTCTGCCAGTTGGGCGGGCCCAGAACACCACACAACGTGAGGTATAGAGGACGTATCTCAGTACCTCAACTGGCTCTTGACAAGGAGGAGCAGCAACTCTTCTTAGAGACCCTCTCAGGTGACTGAATTTCTCATCCTGTCACTACGGGTGAGTCCGGACACCCTGAGGAGGAAACTAATTTTGGCTGGTTGTATCGGTGATCTTGTTCTTTCGACCTTCTTCTTATCACTTTGACAAATTTTTCAATTTTTCAAATTTTGGTTTCATTATCACCACAAATGTTGTTTTATTCTTTGGGAATTTATGTTGACAGATCAGCACAATGCAGCTCGATAAAATTATATTGTGATACTTTAAAAAAAAATACAGTATTAAATAGTCTTCTTAGATCACTCATTTAGTAGAGCCTACTTGTGTTTCACTACAAAAATCATTCAATGGCTTAAAACTAAGTCAGGAATAAGGGCATTCACTCTCTAACTGGGCCAAATACAGGAGAGATAAAGAATCTCTTGGCTCTAAGGTGGCTTTTCAACTCAGTTATTACCCATTTCCATTTCTCTTTAGGCGTCCCTCTGTAATCTACAAAATAAATAACACTAAATTGTTTCACAAAGGCTTTTGTGAAAGAAGTCGCCAAAATAATTGCACCCCTGGCGCTGATTGGCGATAGCTGTCTTGTAATCTGTGATGCAGATAGGATCTAAATGACACTGGCTAAATCCTGAATCACATATCAAACATCATCACTTCAGCCTAGTTGTCTGAAATGAAACTTTTGTTAACCCAGATTCTGTAGACAAGCTACAGTTAACTATTATCACGTAAAACTTCACATGTGCATAAAATAACTTTTTTTTTTAATCCACACATCTATAAGTTTCATTTAAGAAATGAAACTAAGTTGTACAAAGCTGCAACACAAACTAGACAAAGGTGGAAACATGTCCTTGGATGCAGCTCTTGTGAAGCTTTGCTTAAAGCGCCCCCTGGTGGAACATAAATAAGAGCAAGCTGTATCCTGTTTTAGATGTGTGTTTATGCAACATCATGTAACTGTTTTTTTTTTTTTTTAATAATTGCTAGTCTATCCAATAATCCTCCATCTAGAAAGTATAATTAACTCACTCTTTCACCCACTGACTCACTAACATTCAAATTATTCTTTGAATGTGAGTTGGATTGTCTCAGTATAAACTAAGAAAAAAATAATATAAAACTGGTATCCAGAATGTGAAAGCTATTTGTTTGGCTTGTTGAATGATATAATTAGATGTCATATTAATCATACTAATATACATATTAAGATATGCATCTTAATATATATATGTGTATCTATCTGTGTGAGCATTTCTGTGACTGTGTTCCTCTGGATCCCAGCATGACAATTTGTTTGCAACAACTAATCCTCATCAGTCTCATCACTGAGCAATCTTCCTGCTTTGTTTTCCCTCCCTCCTCTTCATCATCACTTTGTACAGTTCTGCTGCTGTCAGGTAACAGTTGGGCAAAAATTAGTCTGAATGAAATTCTGGATAAGATTACATCATTCTTTACAACAAAAGCACTAAATACAGTGAAAAGTAGTGTCAGATGATGTATTTTTAGGTGTTTCTTAAATTGAGAAAATAACAGTTTTATAAGTAGAATTGTATTTTCACAAAAAAAAAATAAAAATACATATGTTACCTGACAAAGAAAACTCAAAAACATGTTCTGCTTTGTCTCAGTGTGTATGGATTTTACTTCAAACAGAACCACTGTTCATTGACAGAATGTCAAGCTGTATTTTTCCAAATAAGCAAACAAAACAAAGCTATTGTAATTTTTCCTCCAATTGTTTGGAGTGCCAGACCTCAATACCTTGCAACATCATTCCAATCTGTAGCACAATTAATAAGGTTACAAGAACAAATGTTGTTTGTGACAGACTAAAATATTAATTACTTAACAGCAACAGTTAAAGAGAAATTTTGTTTTTGTTGTTTTTTATTGAATAAACAATCAGTATAAGATTATCACATTTGAATATTTGAAGGAATTGGGCAGTGTTTTGTGAGATGCTTGATGCTTGAGGACAGAACTAGCTTTTATATTTTTATTTTAAAATGGAAAACCAATACATTCACAGAAACTCTGCATTAAACGAGTTAATA